ATTAAATGATAAGAGTTCCAGCCATCAATGAATTTAACAGTCTTTAATCGTATAAGATATTTCTAATTACAAAGCAAATTTTGCTGATTTTATATAATTGAATAAGAGGTATTTCAATATGCTATTAACTTTTATCTGCCTGCTTATTATTGAATATAGTGAACACAATCTGAAATAAAAAGCTTGATATTTTATACTGTGCCAACAGGTATCAGTTTCCCAGCTATTCTTCATGGTTGAGCATCAAGATCAAACAATAGGATATGTGCATGTCAAAATTTTAAATGAACAAATCAAAGTTCTAAGAATTACAGCTACTTCTTCAAGGTCAAGAGCCCCTCGGTAGTCTGTGCCTTATGATCTCAAAGACAATGACTTTGACTTTCCCTGTGATATGGTTTTAATAATGCAGAACCAAAACCCTGTAATCAACCTGAAGGTTTTTAAACATGTCTTCCCTTGTCTATGATAAAGATTCTCAAAATTATTTTGCACCCATTTTAATTATTTAAATCTAGGAAAGTCTGGCCCATGACATCATAGCCTTCTAACATAACTGGTGGTACTTGATTAACTGATAGAGGCACAGTAATGTATGTCCCTCAGAAGAAAATGCTTTCGGCTATTTAGTATTAGCACCTGTATAATATAAAACAGCAAAGATCCATTAAAATATTCAAAAGGGTTCCACAGAAAAGTACATGTGTTTGCTGAACAATTAATGACAACTTAATTCAGTTAATTGGCAGAATGTTACTTTTAATAAAAGTGCTGGTTGCTTCTTAATGTGTTCTATCATGTAATTTGGAAAATTAAAAGCAATTTATAATCTTTTAAATAGCCTTAGCCTCAATATAATTGGCAGGATATAAAGAGGCAAGGAATTCAAAATTTTCTGAATTCAGTAAAACCTTAGAACCAAGCATACTTTCTTTATAAGAATACTAATATTATTTAAATGATTGTGTATATTCCAAGAGCCAGATTAATGTCATTGTGGATAAAAATAACAACAGAATCCCAGATAAGACTCTTTCTCCTGTCTCCGATCAATTGAACATTTTCCTTTACACTATCAGAAGTCCATTGTTAAGATGATGACCCTGGAAAAAAGGATAAGTCAGAATGATTTTCCCAGGGTCAAATGCCAGAGAAAGCAGCAGGATCAGGTTGAGAGACTTCCAAATGTAGATGCTCTACTTGCGTTTCAGCTCCTGTACCTCAAAATGAGCCCCACTATTCAGCTAGTTACTAGCCTCAGGCTGGCTTTCCTTGTTTCAAAACAAACCAGCTCATTCGGGAAAGAAGGCCATTTTTATTTACAAAATTATATGAAGCTTGACCTTTTTCCTTTACTGAATGAGGTTCTTTTGTTCCCTTAATTGCTTCTTCTGTAAGATATTAAATCTGAGAGAACCTCAGTCCCCTGTGTTGATGAAAAAACTCATCTGACACTCGGGACTTACCAACTTCTCCTATTGCCCACTGGGCTCAGATTCAGCTTGGGAAATGAAAGTGAGAGCAGCAGGCATCACGTCGGGGAGGGAATACTTTGGGCTATTCACTGACAAAAAAAAAAAATACATTAATTTACAGAGCCTATCTTCCCTAAGTTAAATGTACATGCAGTTGATTCAATAGAAATCTCACACAAAGAGGATGCAGGCAAAGAAACAGAGCAGGGTAGACAGATAAAGGCTTAAGGAGAGGCCATTAGCTGTTACAGCCTATACATAGGGGCCATTTGTGGACTTGTGGCTAGTAGGCACCCACACATCTGTGCTCTGTCTTCAGAAGGTACAGATCTCTAGTGATCAGTCACTTACTATCATTTTTCCAGAAAGAAAAAGTGTAAGCAGATGTCCAGATTCTCTCAGTGAGTGGGCATTTCACAGGTCCCCTGCACATGATTTAGGCTTAAGGATGCAATCCATGGCTGACACGGATTGCACTGCGTGGATGAGCAATGCTGGGTTTCAGTGGAGCAGTGCTTCTGTTTCTCATATGTGAACAACAGTAGCAGACCGGATGGAATGAATCATATTAAATGATTCGTAAAAGAAAATGAAAATGATCTTAAGCATGCGGGAAGTTTGAGAAGAAACCCTTTCCTATTTCAGTTTGAGAATTTGACTAAAAGACAGAACATGCCCTGTTAATGAGAGGCTCAGTAGAGATTTGTGACAACAGAGGCTGTGACCAAGTCTTAAGAATAAGGTAAAGGCAATCGCACAAGTCAAAGAATTATACATTTCTTCCCATGGGCAACTGCATTCAAAGTTAACAACCTCCCTTCATTAGATAGTAATCCTTCAGTGGAAATGGTAGGCTTTTAAAGGAACATTTCTATTTCAATTTTTAATAATAATAAAAAAAGCTTTCACTAGCATGCACAATAACACGGGGTTGAAAGTAAGCTATTAGGCCTCGTTAGCTAATTATGGTATTGGCATCCACTTAAGTTAGCTGGTTTTTCACTTGGGTCATTTTCGTCCATTCAACTGTTGTGGTTCAAAACGTTTTGACTACTTAAAAGGGAATACTTCATCGTTGCCTTTCCCCAGTCAAACTGCACACCACTTTCCCCAACCAACAGCTTCAATCATGCTCCATAAAATCCCCTGCAAGTGTATTGTTGGAATCATAAATCAGCCAGCTGAGGCTTTAGTATTTCCAACGCGAGCCTGAGGGTCACTGGCTGGTAGGTTTTCATGGCTCCGTCACAAAATAAACATACAAAAGAATAAACAGAAATGTGAGTTACACACGGTTCATTAAAAAAGGAAAAACAGCTCCCAGTGGTGTGCCGGATACTTGCTGCTGCACCCTTAATTAGAGAAGAAAACAGCAGCCTAGAGAAATGAGGCTCTGGAATAAGGACTTCTGTTTCCAGGCATCTTTGACTTCATTACGACACATGGCACAGCAATAGTACATGCCTGTTCACACAAAAGCTAGTTCCCCCGGATACTCAACTATGGCTCTCTGCGTGTCATACCACTGCACTAGACCGAGAGATCTTCTTTACAAAGATGCCATCCTTCTGCCCTGTTTCGTTGACAGGGAATATGGGTTCCCCTGCAGGCATGCTTCCGTTCCACAGTTCTTCTCTGTAACTACCCTCTGCACTGATTATAAATCAGCCGAATCACAATTTCAAATAAATGTTACATATAGAGAACCAAGGTGCATCTGTCTTTGTGTACTATTTCTACCTAGATACTTAAACATTCCAGCCTCCCTCCTATCCCTGAATTCCAACACCCTTCGCATCAGCAATGATAAATGCACAGACTGGAAAACTGAGCTGATTTTCTCCAGACACCTCACAGGGTAATCATCAACCTGCAGGAACTTGTCCCATATTACTCTAACTACACTCACCTAATTGCATCTAAGTTACATTCTCAGCCTATCTGTTCAGATTCAGACTGGTCTGTGTTATAAATGAACAGTTAAACACAATCAGCAGCCTTCCAAAAGTGGCAGCTTGTATCTTGTCGTGCACACGGATATGGCATGCTGATCTTTGCGAGAGAAGTGACTGAATTAATGAACGAGACTAATATTAGCTTCAGATGAATCTATCTGCAATTTTTCCAAGACTACTATCCCCCATCCTATGTTAGGATAAGAAAAAGAGGAGCTCCTGACTGAGACACTTTACAAATGAGAGAAATATCCGGCGTGTGCATTCTAACTTTGGAACATTAAAAATCTGCATCCAATCGCGGTTCATCATTTACTAACACTGTAGTTTGAAGAGAAGGACAGAGAAAGGAAGGATTTACATCTAAAATGCCAAGCCCTGCTGAAGAATGATAGAAGGACAGTGTGAGCAAGAGCAGAAACAATCATTTCTTGTTTAAAATGGAGTTCTACCACCCCCTGCTGGACCAAATGAGCAACACCGAAGAGGTGAAAAAATGCTTAGAATTGGATTTAGAGAAGATATTTTAACTTATCTTAAAATTTATTAATTTCGTAGAAAATGAAGCACAAACAATATGGCATTTCTATACTTTCCAACAAAATGAAAAACCATGAATATTCGCATTGCCTTTAACGACTTCCACCATCTCACATTTTGACATTTTGTCTCCCACATTAAATGTCCAAACTTGTCTGGACAGTTGAAAACCTTTCAAATGATTGTGAATATATTTTATGCGAACGTGTACTATGTAAGACAAAAAGATAAATCCATATCTTCTGTACAGAAGGCTAGCAGAGATCGCTTCCATCAATTGTCCCTAGGGTTATTCTACAGTCTTTTTTCCTCCCCCACCCAAATTAAAAAAAAAAAAAAATGCTCCACAACCTCCCAAATCCCTTACAGGTGTAATTCAAATCGGATGTTAGAACGTGTTCAGATTTTTCTATATTGACAGGAGGGTGGGGGTCACAATGAATGCCTGCAACACAACCCTAGTTTTAGCCATTTGCTGTCTTACAGCATCTATGGCCCGTTAGTTTCCAACATAAATAAGCCATCAAACGTTCACTTCACAGCCAAGAATAGGTGTTGGGGAAGGAGAAAAGAATCTCCAAGAATTGAATTTCTTGCACACCACAGAGATTTTTTGATAAAAGACTTTAATGCTGATAGTTTTTTGTCGCTTCTGTAAAACACCACTATGCCCTTCCCTTCCGCAACCTCAGATATTTAACTATGAATACACACCAACAACACTCATCCAATTTCGGGTAATAAGAGAGAAAGCCAAAAATCCCAGAAGAAGAAGCAGTTTCCCCCCGATCTCTCTCCCACCGATGCCTAGCTCCAATTCTTCACGGTCTCCTCTTATTTAAGGGTCCTTCGAGCCAACAGAGAAAATTTTAGGGACAGCCAAAAGAAAGAGCTAAAATCCTAACAGTCGCCCGGAGAAGCACCGCAACTTTGGTGCCTTGGTTCCATCGCTCCAGTGCCTCGCTCTTTGCCTCTCTGGGTTGGGTGGAAGGGGGAGGGAAAGTAAAGCCAGAAAGCCGCACACTCCTACCTTGCCCGCTACTGACAAGCAACCCGAGCAGGTAGAAGGAGAGGAGGAGGCTCATGTTCAGGACGTGACACCGGCGGACAGTTCCAAAGTTATTAAGTCCAGCCCCGGAGAGAGAACCTTCCGCTGCCACGGCCGCCTCTGCTAGCCCGCCGTCGCTCCCGGCTGCCCCAGCCGCCCGCAGCCCGCGCGCTCCTCCTCGCAAAGTGACTGCAAGCTCCGCGCCTTGCCGCACTATATCCAGGCAGCGGCGGCGGCGGCAGCAGCGGCCGCCGCGGCGGCAGCGGAGCCGGCGGGAGGAGGCGGGGGCGGGACGGGGCGGGGAGGCGCGGCCCCGGCGGATCCCTCCGCGCGCACACCGTCTCATCCAGCCAGGCGCGTCCCCGGGATTCGTCCGCAGTGGAGCCCCCAGCCACGGGTTCGAGCTCAGGCGCTTCTCGCTTAGCGAGGCTGATGTGAGATGACCCCCGCGGAGAAGGCAAACCACACGGGGCGACGATGGCTTGCGCTCACATGTCGTTCTTAGAACAGGGAAGCCGGCATGCTTGAAGACTCATTTCTCTTCCAGCTCCCGCAGGTGCCTATGGACCCTCCTGCACTGTGGAGGGCGAGCCTTATTTGCATAGGGCTCAGAAGGTTGGGGAGGCAAGGGGCTGCTGTTGCTTCCCTTAGTACCTTCTGAAGGTAGAAGTGGCAGGGTCCGTGTCTGTCGGGGATTTAACTGGAAGTCTGGCCTGACCCACTCAGTGCTTTGACACGTCCCTGTGGAGGAGAGTCCTCTGGAGTGAATGTCCCCTACCTCCTACCTTAGATGGACCAAGAAAGAAGTGCAGTGCTTCCTTAGGTACCAATTCATTCGGGTGGATGGAACCCACAGGGGGACTTGATGAGGATTGAGATACAGGAGGGTCTTGGGTTTCCTATGCGCTGACCACTATCAGCCCTGTGAGGTTAGATCTCTCCTTTAGAGTGTGAAGAGGAAGGTCCTGGGATGTAAATGGAGGGATTGAGCTAGCATTCTTCCTCAAGTGAGTCACTTCTAAGCCACACCACACCCCACACCGCATCCCTCAAAACTGAGTGCCTGTGTCACCCGCAAGTGCTCCCAGTTCTCATAGCTGTGTGAGACCTGAAAGGGAAGTACGGTGCTCTGGTGTCAGATGCCCTCACCCAAAGTCTGGGGCTGATCACGATTTCTGCTGATGGAATAGGGAAACAGTGTGGCACTTTTATGTGACTCCTGTGACAAGAGACTGGTAAGAGGCAAGATCTATGGCTTCAGGGCCCTTGTCTCCTCCCAGGGTCATACTGAACAATTGCAGCTGACAACAGGTTCTTCAGCCAAGCCCCTGCCCTCCCTCCTTAGAATGGTCAACTAACTCATCAAAGACTTCCCGCGCTTCTCTCATCAGCAAGGACTGAAAAAAAGTCAAGGTAGAAGCATGGACAGGCTCAGAAAACCTGAACATACCCCCAAAGAATTGCTTTAGGGAGGGCAGTGGTTGAACAAACAGGGGCTAGCAATAATACTGGATAGTACAGTTCCAGTATCCAGAGAATATAATGTCTGTTATTTGCTCTTGTGGCCTGATTCATGGAGAAGATTGGCTTTCTTAGTCCCTGGAGTAGGTTTTGTGGAAGGAGGTGAGGGGAAGCTTTAAGCATAAAAATGAGCCATGCTAAGCTCTTTGACTGAAGTCACTCTGTGCTCCTCATGCTCCGGAACCTCAGGCTCCAGAACCTCTTCTGTGTTTTGGGTTTATAATGGGTACTGCAACAAGGGAGATCTTTGCCAGGACACTGCCCCTGCACCTTGTATTATTCCCGAATTGCCCCCAGTGCATTTAGGGAATCTCATAGTGAAAATTTTCTAGGAAAGGGTGAAGCAATGTGTTTATAGGTGTGAAAAACAAACAACTAATAGTGGGGGGTTTTGTTTGTTTGTTTTTTATTTACATTTCTTGATTTTCCTAGGGCACTGAATGAAAGCACACATGCAAAATCAACCATAGAAGACTCTTACAAAGGTAATATGGGTGACAAATAATCTCTTCCCCACGACGCTTGCAGGTTTTCAATTAGACACCTACAATAGCCAAGTGTACTAGCTCAGTTCAAGATCATGGACTCTCATGTGAATTTGCCTACAGCCAAGTACCTACTGCACACATTCACAATCATGTGTGTGCAAGGACACACACACACACATACTAACCATACACACACGAACAAGGACATACATTTAGTAGTGATAGAATTATTGTTCTGCAAGTGTGTCCTTCTTTATATTATTAGGAGCCAATTTACTTTAAAGAAAACAATCGAACTATGACAGAGAACTATTTGATAGTCCGTAAAGTCACTTGAGTACTAGATTTCTTTAAGACGTGGAAGAAGAATGAAGGAAGGTAGCAATGGTTCTTCATCCATTAGTGGAATTTCTTAGTAAATGTTTATATTATAATATTGTATCAAGAGCCCAAAATCTGTTGTGTATTTATACTGGTGTATTTTTGACAAAAGAGATAGATTTTTGTGTGTGTGTGGGGGGGGGTTAGTATTTTTGTCAGTATGACACAAACTAGAATCATTTGCAAAAAGGGGAATCCATTTGAAAATTTGCTGTGTGGGCAGATAGCATGTTCTGGGCTGCTGAAGAAAGCAGGTTAAGCAAGCTGTGATGAACAAGCCTATAAGAAGCATTCCTCCATTCCATCTGGTCTAGCTCCTGTTTCTGCCTTTCTTCCTTGAGCTTCTGCCCTCAATGTCCTTCGTGATAGACTGTGTTTGAGTCATACAAGGCAATGGTTTTTTTACTCCCTAGATGCTCATATCATGGTGCTTTATCACAACAATGGAAAGCAAACTATGTTGGTGCAGAAAAACTGATTGAACAAAATATTGTCCCTTAGTTATCTATGCAGGAGATATTTGATCTCCCTAGATTTTGGTAGTAATCTTGATAAAGAGATCAGGTGTAAAAAATCAAATAAATCAGATTTAAAATATAAATAATGATAAAAGAGAATTGCTATTGTTGGTAAAAGAGAGAAGTGGGGGCAAAGGGAAGGAAGAGAGAGAGAGAAGGGAATATTTTCTAAATAGTGTTATTAAGAATGGATTCAGGAAGAAAAGAGAGAAATTAGGCAGAATAGACTGAACAAGGAGAAGCTGAAGCAAGGGCTAAAGTTCTGAAAGCACCCAGCCTGGAACATAGAACAAAGTATAAAGGAGATGGCTCAGTCTGTAAAGCAGTTCTCATGTAGTCAAAGGGAACTGAGGTCTGACCACATCACAAAGGGGAAAAGCTGCACATTGCAGCATGGGTCTGTTGTGCTAGCACACTATATGTAGAGACACAGAAGCCAGTAAGTCTTAGCAAACTGGCCCCATGATCAGTGAAAGAACCTGTCTCAAAACGACAACCAAAAGAAAAGGTGGAAACTTGTGGAATCAGACACCTGAAATCAGTTTCTGGCTTCCATGTGTACATGGACATGTGCTGACAGACAGGAGAACACATGCACACACACATACAGAGATTTAAAATAGTACATTGTGTAAAACACAAAGTTGAGTTAGACTTGGTAAAGGGAGATAGTACTATGTTCTGCCAAAATCAAACAAAGAAAAATCCCCAAACAAAGACTGTGGCATTTTCCACCATATTATCTACGAGTCAAACACTACAGTTGAAGATGGAGCCAACAACAGGAGAGGTTCACTTAACAAACACAGGGGCACGTATTCAAGTCATCGTTCACAAAAGGAGAAAATATATAAAAGAAAATGGTGAGCATACCCAGCCTCATGTTTAGAGACTGAATTACAAGTCGTCATGGTGTCCTCCCCGCCCCAGAGGATTATCAACTCAAGGTTTCGTGAGTGTTCCTTATCATCACCTAAACTGATCCTATCAGACATCCAGAAATCCAGATGCCACATATTCCCAAAACTTTCACTACTTTTTATCCCAAAGTAAACTAGTGTATCTCATAAGCACATTCATTTCCCACTTCTCTGGCAGGGTGATCTGCTTTTATTTGCCTGGGTCAGTTTTTCATCTCCCAACAGGTTGACAGTATAAAGGCAACACCTAAAAAAATTATCTCTGCACACTGTCCCTGTCTTCAATCAGACAACATGCTTCTCTCCGACCAAGATAATTTGTCTACCGATATGGCCAAGCCATGCACACTGTGGACAATACAGACAGCCAAGAAATGCATCCCTCACCTGTGTGTGACCAAAAATTTACAAGTAACACGGGGTATCTATTTTCTACCCACCCGAGAAAGATTTCAGAGGCATTTCACGGCGCTTCCATTATTTCATTTATGAAAAGCAAAGCAAGTTGAACAGAACTCAGGAATCTACGAAGAGCTGAGTAGTAAACAACACCAACGGGAGTGGGTGCATGGGTAAATGAGAGAAGATAAATTTGATTTAGAAGAATCAATAAAATGAACATGAAGGAGTTGCAGGGAGATAGAAAACGATAAGGTGCATTATATGTGGAAATTATCTTCTCGGGGAGATTCTCCCTCTTACATCTGCAATCTGTTCCTGAAAAAAGCATGCAGGAGTATAAACATTATATAGAAGCTGGGTTTGGACAGTGTGCTGTGGACGGTATTTAAAAGTTGTGTTTATTTCCTGATCTCTGGTATTATTTTTGTTTACTCTGACTGTTGACAGAATTCATAGGCGTTAAAATTATACTATTAGGAAATAGGACATTCCATGTGTCCGTTTATATTTTTAAAATGTCACAAACCATTATACCTATTCATTTACTTGTCTAGAAAATTGCCTGTTTGGGTTTTTCTATTACCACAAAAGAGGAAAAATGTGCACTGTGTGTACAGACAGATAGCCCAAGACCTCTGTAAATAGACAATCATGCTTCTACCTTCCTGTCTCCATTTATACCACTTGTTCTAATGATTATGTCTTTAAAATCATTTCTACGTCCTTATTACTACAGTATTTTAGGTGTTTTATTGGGCTATTTCTACGCATATAACAGCTGATCTACAGTGGTAGAGTCAGATCTTAACACTTCCATTTGTAAATGCTGTACTAGTTTAACAGTCCTTTTTTGAAATGAAGAAAAGGAAGAGGCAGACTAATGGCACAAAGGTTCCCTAGTCATCACGCATTCTTACTTTTTAATTTCCTTTAAAATGTATGGGGTCATATTCCTTCCTGGCTACTTCATGTTCCCTCTGGACAGATA